ATGTGTACTTATTGGATGCTTGTGTAGGTCATAACCAAGCTCCTGAATCAAACAAAAAAATGGCAAAGATAAAGTTATCGAGTAGTTGGACATCATTTCAGCATACTAGTGAGGCATATCAAGTGAGTGCATTTATTGTACTTATATGAAAGAAGGAGGACTCGTGATGAGTCAACCTCGAATGTTTTGTTAAATGTATGTTTTATAGCAAAATTGGTATATTTGAATATTGTGAATGGAAAAGATATTATAAATAAGTTTTAGAGTATGAACTGCTCTAAAATGATGGATGAATGTTGATGTTGTGCAATGGTTATCGATGTTGCCAAAATAAATGTCTAAATCTGTGAATTTGACTTAAAAGCCCATTGTATGTTCATTGAGAGGTATAGGTGCATTCCGGCATAAAAGGTGTCATCGATGATATTCATAAAGGGTGAATTACCATTTCAACATACTTCATGTATGAAAGTTATCGATCGATTTTTTAAATGCATAATGTTGCATTATAGGCATAAAAGGTGCCACCCATGGTATTCATAAAAGGTGAATGATCATTTTGGAACTTCGGTGCAATACATGTACCTTACATTCTCATTTGACATACATAGGGCAAAATAAAAGATAATTGTGAAAAATATACAGAAAAATAAGTATGTTGGGCATACTAAGAATATTTTCAATGACTATATGAAATAAATTTGATCTAACTGAGATGGTTGTAACTGATTCTTATGAAGTATACGATTTAGTTTGTATTTAAATAGACATGATATACTTATGTATGAATTTCCATTCTTTATAGAATTATGCCTCACTAAGTAAATACTTAGTGTGTGTTGATTTCACATGTAGGTAAAAGCCAAGACTAGCTGAGTAAGGAGTGTAGCTGTGATCATCAATCCAATGTTGACCCATCAGTAACAGTAAGACAATTATGTCTCTTTTGATAATTAACTGGGATGTATTTGAACTTATAAAAATGCTCTAAAATTTATTAAAGTTGTAATCTTTGTAATATGTTACAAAGAATGTTTATTATTATATTAAAATATTTTGTTTTATCGTCGAAACAAATTTTTATGGGTTTTATCAAATAAGTAAAATGTTTTTAAAAGTCATGTGACACCCGTGACTTGTGTATGAAAATGTATACGTGAAATGGGTGTTACAAGCTGAGTTAGAAGTGAGTTACCTTGTGATTCTAAGCTATTGAAAGTGTCAAAGGCTCAACCAAGAACAAGCTTTTCCTTCCTCTAGCTTTGGAGCTTTCTCCAAATTCTCTCACCAAGAAAGAAATCAAAGAAAGTGTTACTAACTGAATTCAGAGGCCAAAAATGGTTTAAGAACACTTCCCAAGGCTAAAACTTTCTAAAAAATAGATTAAATCTTCAAGGTTCCATAAACCCCCACAAATCATGTTTTTGAAAACCATGGCCAAGACTTGATCTTGTGCTCTCCAATAGAGCTTTAAAGGTGTTGATTTTGATTCTTATACTTAGGTTGTTGAACTAGGGTTGCAAGCTTAACAGACTATCACCATTAACTTGCCTATCTTAAAGGAGAAAGAATAGAGAAGGTGAAGGCTTGGGGTGAAGAAGATGACAAGAGGAGTGGGCAAAAGAGAAGAAATTCAGATGTGATATCACCAATCCTTAATGGTTTTCAGCTTTAATTTTGAACAATGGTATAATTACTTCATTGGTCCTCTTGATTTTGGCCACAAACTAAAAAAGACATTTTTCTCATTCATTGGACCAAGCCAAGCCGAAACCAAGTATCTTTTGGACCAAGATTGCCTACAATGTTAATGGATTTATTTTACGACCCACTCGGGATAACCCGAAACTACTAACCCATGATTTGGGGTGTTACACATTGTATCAATCTTGGTTTGGTATTATTTTCAAATAAGTAATTCAATGTTGAATGATTTGTACAAACAATCACCTTTGTTCCAGCAAGATAATATCTAAATTTATCAAAGTCGAAAACTACAATAAAAAACTCCTACTAATTTGTTGTGTAATTTATTTGGGCTTCATTTTAGTTTTGCTTACCTAGTGAATAACATGAAAGATTTTATTCTTCCATTGTCCCTACATTGCACCAATATCTTGGTCACTTGCATCATGAAATAATTAAAATGGAAAATTCCAGTCAAGTGCAACAACAATGGGTGTATTAACCTATTTTATCTTCATTATTTTAAAGGAAGCAAGGGCTTCATCATCAAATATAAATTTCTTGTTTTGATCTAGTAATGAACAAAGCAGTCTAGCAATCTTCGAGAAGTTTTTGATAAAGCATTGATAAAAATCGACAGACCTAAGAAATTCATTATTCCTTTGACATTGGTGGGAGGTGATAACTTGTCAATGACCTCAACTTTGGCTTTGTCTGCCTCAATACCATAGTGCTAGATACAATGTTCCAGCAATATTTCTTCAGTCACCATAAAGTGACATTTCTTCAAATTGAGTACTAGATTGGTATCTTCGCATCGCTTCAATATTGTAGCTAGATTATCGAGACACTGATCAAAGTATTAAAAATAGAAAAATACTCATAAATATCTCAAGGAAGTCTGCAACCATGTCTGATGATATGACCATCACATAACATTAAAACGTTGATTACACAAACCAAAAGACATTATTCTAAAGGTGAATGTACCATAAGAACAAGTGAACATGGTTTTCTCTCGATCTTCAATTGTAATTACTATTTGATTGTAGCCATTATAACCATCAAGGAAATGACATAATGTTTTTCTAGCAAGTCTATCCAGCATTTGATCAATGAATGACAATGGAAAATGAGTCTTCCTTGTTGCTTTGTTCAACTTCCTATAGTCCATAAAAATGCATCATCCAATCATTGTGCGATTAGGAACTTAATCATTTTTCTCATTACTTACAATAGTAATGGCACCCTTCTTTGGCACGCATTGCACTAGACTCACCGAATTACTGTAAAATATTGGATAGACGATTCCAACATCTGGACATTTGATGATTTTTTTCCTAACAACCTATTTCACAATAACGTTGAGTTTTCTTTGTTGCTCAACAAAATTGTTGTTTGAGTTCTCTTGTAATATATTTTGCACACAAAAGGCTAGACTAATACCCATTATGTCAACAATACTCCAACCAACTACTCTCTTATGATGCTTCAAAACATTGAACAATTTTTCTTCAAGTGATGCGCTGAGCTTTGCTACAAAAATAACATGAAATGTCTCATTATCCCCTAGAAATGTGTACTTTAAATGATCAGGAAGAGATTTTAATTCAAGGGTGGGATTTCTTCAATTGAAAGATGAGGAACTTTGATCACTTTACTCGAAAGGTCCAGTGGCTTAAAGTGTTGCACATACTTTCCTTCGACCTCATCAATTTCATCATGTTCCTTGTATTTTTCTATTGTTACAACTACAAAATGCATTAATTTTGTTACATTCATCCATATATTCTTGTACAATTGCATTAATGATGTCAATAGAATGACATTTAGTATTATCATCTTCATACATAATAGTATTTTAAAACATTAAAGGTATGTGTTTGTCATTAAGACACATAATAAGTTCTCCATTTTCAACATCGATTAAGGCTCTACCTGTAGTAAGAAATGCTTGACCAAGTATAATTGGCACATTCTTGTCAACTACATAGTCCAAAATAATGAAATTGGTGGGAAAGATGAATTTATACACTTGAACTAGCATGTTATTTACTATTCCCTCAGGATGTACTGTAGAGCAAAATCCATTATTTCTTGTGTTTATTATGGCGACAATCATAATTTTGAAGAATATCCACAAAACCCCGAGTCTATGTATTTTGTGAGGAATTAGAATAGGAATTATAATACCAACACATATGGGAAAACCTACAATCACAGCTTCTGAAACCATCCTAACTTATATTGGAGAATTTAGAATGTAGCCAACACCAATGTGGCATTGCAATCCAATTTTAGAAATACACTACAACACTATTAGCTGTACTAACAATATGTACAATAGTAATTGATGCTGCCACATTAGTCACTTCATCAAGCACTATAGCTACAACAACACAACAATCAGCAAAATTATCAAGGGAAAGCTTCCAATCAAGCTTCAACATCTACGTCCTTTGAGTCTACTAAAGGAATATATCTCAAGAAATAAAACTATGATCCAAATTCATTCAACATTGTAAAGGTAATTGGAGAATCAAGTTGGACAACATTGTTAAGGGCATTGGAGAATAAAGTTAGGGGAAATCTTTAAGTGACACTGAAGTTCCTAAAGCGTATGAAAATTCTCAATGCAACGAGCATTGTAAGGCCATTACAATAATAAATGAACTTCATCTTAGAAAGCTGATTGAGAACAAAAGGAAAAAACATAAGAGGCCTCAACTATAATTAAAAGGTAATAAATTAGAAGAAGTGATTGAGGAACCCATCAATGATGTCATGACAAAGGATGTTGGATAGAGCATCAATTCTTAAACATTATCTCCAATGATGCCAACAACACTACCACTTGTGATGTTTCCACAAGTTTCTTTGCAATCAAAACTAGGACGTCCACTTATATTTCCTCAATGATTTAAAAACACCAAAGATGATCAACAATTTCATAGTTTCACTAATAAGATTAAGAAATTGATAATCAATATTCTGTTGATTGATGTATTGGAGGAAAATCAATTTTACCTCATACATACCTCCAAGATTTAGCATCTTCTTTATCATTCAAACAATGTTGTCACTTGTGTGGTCAATGTGTTTAGCACATCACCATCTATTACAGCAACAATACGTTTCCCTAACATAATCCTCGTGTTGGGATATTGGTAATTATTTTTGGAAATTTTTCCAAGATTTATTAAGCTTCATTGTACAATTTATCTAAAAATGCTCTGTTGGTATAAGCATCTACAATCATCCCTGTTTGCATGTTAAGACTACTGTAGAACATCTTCGTTTTCATCTAATGCTAGAAACCATGCATCGAACATTTGCACAACACCTTAAATTGCTCCCATATTTTAAAAAGGTTTCCATCCTCCATTTGCTTGAAAGATGTGAGATCATTCCTGAATTTAGCATTCATATTGGGAGGATTAAATCGCAGCAAGAACTTTGAGGCAAGTTCATTCCATGATGCTAGCTCTAAGTGGCAAGGAGTTAAGTCATGCCTTGTCTTTGTCGGGAATAGAGAAAGGAAATAATTTTAGCTTCAAAGCTTCATCTGGCATTTCTTGCTGAGCAAAGGAATCACATACTTTCGAAAATGCTCGTATGCATCCCACTGTACTGCCCCACTGAATGTATCATTTGGAACATCATTGGCTTTAACTTGAAATGGGCAACATAGATAGTAGGTCACACAATGTCAATTTTGAGATCATTCAATGTAGGCACAACATGCTCTCAATTGGGCATGTTACGATCATCTATATTGTAATATTTCTACTACATCGGAATGTTTGTAGAGGTGGAATCACCCTTATCTTTTCTTCATCATTATTGTGTGGGAGATTTTCATTATTCCCAGTTGGTAATGGCAACTCACCATTTTTGTCAACACCATGTTGAGTAATGATTGGTTGATGTTGATTTGCTTGTCTTCTATGGTGGATTGTCCGCTCGATTTTCAGATTGTAAGGTACTAAGTTTTAATTTTTGTTGTGTTTCATTATCAATAACACTCTATTGAAAACTACCTACAAAGAGAAAATAAAACAAAGTTAATAAAATAAAATAAAACAACTCAAATATAATTACAGTTTTCTATGACAACGGTGTCAAAATCTTAACGTTACGAATATTGTTATAGAAATTAACGCATGTGCACGTATCGTTATCAAGTAATCTATATATGGATGCAACTAGTGGATCGAGCATCATATCCATAAGAGAACAATTGATTACAATATAATTATTTTATAATGAAGTATTTAAAGGTATGAAAATATTATGGTAACAAACTTGTGACAAAGATACTGAAAACTATAATAAGATAGAGGGAATATTGCAGCTAACATCAATGGAGCATTGTATTGAGGAACCAAAGATAATGTTGTTAAACAGTTGCATGCAATTTCAGCAATGCTAAAACAAACAGATTAATTTGTCAAGCACTATTCAAATAGATTGCTCCTTTCTCAAAGTGCTCATCACCACATAGAAAGCTTATATATATTTCTATATCTCAGTACGCTTGCTGAAAATGGTATGATAATCAGATAGCATAGATTTATATATCCTACACAATGCTTTCATAATCGTTGATGTTGTATAAGATGTAGTATGCATTATAAGCAATTTTCATCACTAAAAACAATCAGGATTAAGATCTAACAACACAATCAATTAACTAAAACATAGCTAAAGAAACACGCATTCATAAAAATATAACAAAATACCATCCAAGTTTAACAATCATTCCAAATCAACATTCAATCTTAACAACAAGATTTTCCCCCTTCTCGGGTATGAATTCACAAGGATAAGATAAAATTCAATCAATCGACCACCGTTTCTAACGAGTGAGCTACTCTATGTCTGCTCGCTGCCCTCCCCGATGGTAAATAAGGCTACCATGGCTGCTTCGATTGAAGAATACAAATGGAGAAAAGGTTGAAGAAAAGAGAACATGAAAAGTGTGACTTCCTTCTCTATTTATAGGCTCGCATAGTCAAAGGTTCAACCAATAAGGTGATTTCTAATTTTTCTTTAATTCTCTGCCATAATATAGTTGGAATGGATAGATGTTATGTTCCAAAAAAAATTTATAATCGCCCAGTGAGTCATCAATTGTTGTAGAAATAACTTAGCAATTCTGTTTCACATCGGATCACAGTAACGACTGCAACATTAGACAATGTCACAACATAAGCGTACCAAATCACAACAAAATAACATAAAATAGTCCAAGAGGTACAAACTCACTCCCAATATGAAAATGATGTAAAATATGCTAAAACAAACTTAAATATCTTCCTAAAAATTCTTTAAGTACAAAATCAACCCAAGTAAAAAGGTTGTAAATGATACTATTTTAGAGAGTTATCATTTATTGATAGTTATATCTCTACTAAAATGACTTGTTTTTGCTAGTCTGAATGCTAATACACTGAAGCACTTTTGGCACCGTATTTTCTCTCTCCCCTCCTTTATTATCACTCTTTGGGTTGTGATGGGTTGCAACTATGACTTCTTCAGATAGAAATAAATATAATGGATCCATACGCTCGAGCAGAGATTTTCATAATCTAGTCTATGTCTTTGACCGATGTGACATGGATTTTCAGGGTCTGAAAAATCACCTAGAATCGAGAGATGACTTATGCTCGGCTTGACATAGTCTTATGTAATAACAAATGGGATGAATCCTTCCAAAAACATGTCATTCATCCCCTCTACTGCATGCGTTCAGACCATAGTTCATTGTTGCTTTTTGTTGGCAGCAGTATTTCTAAAAATCAGACTCCTTAGTTTTGGTACTTCTCAGAATAGTTGCAACATGAGGATTTCAATCGTATGATTCAAGAGAATTGGACACCTTCCAATTCCATTTTTCAGATTTATCTCTACTTTTTCCTTTACAATTAATATGTGGAATAAGACTGTTTGGCTAGATACATAATGTCTACTTGATGCATCCAAATCCATGCGCTGTGGATAGCTTGATAAGCATGTTATCTTGTATGGTTAATAACCATGTCAGATACATATCGCTTACTTTATTCATCCATATACTATGCACTGCGAATAGATTGATGATATTTTCTTGACTGAAAATATATCCTTTTTATTGTATGTCATATTGTATTACGCATGATATAGGTTGTGCAGGAAGAAGACGTTGATTTAGTAGTATGTGTCATATTACTAGTTACTGTAATACGATTACATGTTACTGTTTCTTAGAGAAATAAAGTCATATTATGTTCGGGAACTCTACTTATGGAGATTAACGGATGGACAAGTAGATGGAGGTTACAAGCCTATCATGCACTTTATATAATGGTATGTGACTGATTTATGTGTTGGAATGGTTTATGGTTACTATTATGCACTTAGAGACCATACTAAACTTTATAGTTCATTACTCATTTTCTCTCTTTCATATTGATGTTGTTCACTATTATATTATTTGTCAAGTATTATATTTTTATCTTTAATTTATGGCTTTGTAAATATTTCAATAGACTTTAAAACATTACCTTGAATGTTACGTATTTAGTTTTGAAATATACGTCTCATTTTTCTTTCAACTTGATTTTTTTAATATTTTTGTATCATCTTCTTCTTTATGTTTGATTTTTGTTTAGTCGACGACAGCACCAATCTTATTGTTGGTTGCCGACCGCTGGTGAGTATTAGTTCTCTTATTTTTTATATTATATCTTTTATCTTTTTTCGCTTGAGTCATTTTAATTTTGAATAAGACTCTCTATCATTGTGACATGCATTTTCTCTGCTCTTATGGCGCGATCCTCGTGGTTGTTGGTACATTTTTCGCATAACTCTGCATTCGTTTTGGTTCTTGCACAAAAATCATAATGATGTCTATATTCTGATTGATTAGTCGGTGGTCACATATAGTCAACTCCTCTCTTTTGGTAAAAGGTTGTTTGCCCACTCCTTTATTCTTTCATTCAAGCGTCTTATATTCGGTAGAGACAATGTGTTTTTTTTGAGGTTATTGAGTTTTGATGTTTTTCGTTATTCTCATTAAAAAGTTTTAATTATCTTGGTATCTTTAGTTTTAATTTTTTTTCTCCTGTATGAGTCTTTTGGTGACTATTGTCTTTAAAATTTTTCTCTATATTTTGATGTGTTGTAATCTTATTCTTCTCAATATTAATAAAATCCGGTTGCCATTGTTAAAAAAACGTTTTTACACAAACAATTGGTTTGTAAGTTCTATGTCATCCTAAATTTGACCATAAACGTCTAGGTAAGATTTAAGTTATTACAATCATATTTTTACATATGTGGGACCTTAAAAATTAGTAAAACACTGTGTCACTATATAATAATTAAGAAAATGGAAAATTAGAAAAAAAGATTTAATGATTAAATTAAAACGGATAAACTACATGAATGGTCTCTTAGGTTTTTGGTTTGTTTGATTTTAGTTACTGATTTAAAAAGTTTGATTCTGATCCTTCACACTATTCGGTCAGTTCGATTTAAATCTTTTAGTCGTTAACTCTCGTCAAGTCAATAATGGAAGTCTGAATTGGCAAGTTCAAAAAAGAGTTTGAAGCAGTTTCATTACCTTGGCTACCTATATTAAGTTAATGAATGGAGGATTAGTGCTTTGCAGTCCAGAAGGACATGAGCAAGCAAAAAGTTTGAGATGGGTGATTGCCGATCAAATCGAGGAAACCCGGATCTACAGCTTTCTCCCATTGAACAAGTGCAATCACCTACAGGAAAACACAAGAGTAAACTTGAAAAGGAGTATTCCAAAGACTAATAATTAGACATTGAAAGAGAAAATGTATAAATCACAGAACAAATGGGTATATAATTCTTTCATAAATGCATGAAAATAAACAAGAGAGAAATAAATCACCTGACAATCCTGAAGAAGTTGAAAGCATGGTATGACTCTAACTACAATGGTGGCACTCCCTGTACTACTGTTTTCATAATTCAAAGCTGCTTGGCACACCATAACTTAACCCTTCGACGTGGTACCAAAAAAATGAGGGTCTCTCGGGTACGAAAATGTATTTAAAACCTCAAGATTCGTGTTCTAGATAAATAAAACTAAACAAATACTAGTACTAATGATAATTCTTGGATTAGAAATTTGAGCGATGTGTTTGAAGATAGGGTGTTTTGCTTACAAAAGGAACATAACCCGAGTTTATTATTATTATTATTATTATTATTGGATAGTTAGGAGGATGAGATGAACCGAGTTTGAGTATTGTTTGACTCAACTCGGAAAGAGTAAAATTGAGCTCAAATCGACTCGAAAATTCACGAGCTCAAATTTTTTAAATTCGACTCGAACTTAAAATAAAAAATTGAGTCTTAACTCGACTCAAAAACTCACAAGGTTAAAATTTCAAGCTCGAC